GGACGATGGCTACATTCAATTATCCCTAAGGTGTCGAAGTTTGCATGGTTCAAAGGGTTGGACTTGAGTCGAGACTTCATACGCGTGATGTCTCGTCTCATGTCCAATCACTATTGTCTAAACGCTCACTTGTTCCGTGTGGGGTTGGGAGACAGCAATCTCTGTGAATGTGGACAAGGTTACCAGGACGCTGATCACATCCTTTGGTCTTGTGCGGAGTATCGTGGAGTCAGATCACATTTTTATGATTCCCTTCGGGCTCGAGGTAGACAACCTAATGTTCCAGTTCGGGATATTTTGGCTAGACGCGATCTGGAGTTTATGAAACTCATATATGTTTACTTTAAGGATATTAACCTTAGATTGTAAGTTTGATTAACCTTGTGTTTAGTTTGTATTTTGTACGTGTGGGTTTTTTTTTCAATGTTTGTTTTCAAGATGAATAGAAATAATTTCATGCTTTAGGATTAATTAAATAGTTGTATCGTAAACCACATTTAAAACCTCCTTCTTCCCTTTTCCCATCCAAAAAATTGTAAATCTCCACTAACCTCGAGACAACCGCGAGTACTCGGTCCAGTTCCTTTAACTTTAAATATAAGACAGTAATAATGTATAACGCAAAGGATAACTCGGCTCTGTAAAGTTTATTCGATTGAGCCTGTACAAATAAAGTAATTATAAAAAAAAAAAATGCTACGGATTCATATAAATTAAGTTTAAATAGATAAAAGTAGAAAAAAGGAACAATCTCACCAAATCAGTCCAAGTGAATCCTTTGCAAGCAGCTCTGTCACGTTTGGTGTAGTAGTTCCGATCATAGACCCGCCTTACGGGGATCAATCATCTGGTCTAATATAGCCGATTGCTCCAAGTGGAAGTGGCAACTTGCATCTCCTTGACGCGAACACGAAGCGACCGCTCATAAAATCATGAGCGGTCCAGTAAACAAGAAAGGCATTTTGTGAAGAAGAAAATGAACAGAAGAAATTTCTGTGTTCACATCATCAATATCATTGTCAATAATTCTCCTCCGTGTGGGGTTCGCTATAAAGCAACCAACCATACAGACAAAACGGTTGCTACGACTACCATAATAAACTCGCTCTGTAACATAGCTCGATCGGAGTGTTAGAAGGATAATGATATATTGCTTGGCTGCTTTGTTGCAATATACACGGATGAGGACATGACTTGATCTGAATCGAGAAAATACATAACAAAAACATTCCCATTAACACACGTGTATCATCTTCGGCTTTATCTCGTGAAGCAGCTTGCCAACAATTTGCTTTTCCTACTACTGTCCCGAGTGAGCTGCTTGTCATGAAAAAAAAAATGGAAGCATATTATATCTTTATTGCTTTCCACTTCTGACATAGCGTTATCATTCGGTTCGTTAATCGCTTATAATTTTGACATTTGGAGATATTTTTGATTCCTGGGTTGTAGCTTATGAACTAACGCATCGGAACAAACCTATTGTTGATTTATACACGGTGAAATAATTGATATTATTGATCTTTTCTGATCGATAGAACGGAAATGGGCGATTACGACGAAGAAACGCTCTACTCTATTTTTTTAAATATAATAATATTAAAAAAATATATATTTATAGTATTTTGTATTGAAAAACATTGATTGCATTTGCTTTTTATTGTTTTCATGGTTTGTAGATAGAGGGCGCAAAAGGTTTTATATTTTTCCTTGAAAATTTAGCCTTTTTCACACAACGTTTAAAAAAAATCAGCGATGTTTTTTTTTTTCGTTTTGGGTTTAAACTACAATACTTCTTTGTGACTAGAGAACCATGTTTCTCCATTTGTTTTTCCAGCGACTTTTACATGGTATATTTATCTGTCGGTGATACACTCGAGCAGTTATGGATCAAGATTAAAACCTCCACTGGTAACGCTAGCATCGGGGTGATCTACTTACCAGAAGAGCAAATGTTGCTGACATTAATAATCACGGAGCGATTCGTTCGAGTTTGGAAGTTTCAGGAATCAGAATTCAGTTTGGAGACTATAACCAATCCAATCTGGTTTGGTCTTCTTCACCGAATGATCTTCGAGTCATAGATGTTCAGCAATCGTATATCTCGACACCTAGCGAAATTTTGTTGAATGGATTCAGTCGGCATGGCTTAACGAAAATCAATTAAGTTGCTTACCAAAATAACCGTATTCATGATTTTGTGTTAGCTAATGACAATATTATATGAGGAAGTAATGTGTCTAATGCAGCGGATCCATTGATCGACCTCGATCGGAATCATCCTGCCCTTGAGGTCACCGTTCAACTGCTGTTGCTTCCTATAGTATTCGAGGATGTCGTTGATCTGCAGAGCTTTGACTTTCATCATGTTGATTACAAGACATTGACATTGCAATCTTTGTTTTTTTTCTCCTTGATTTGTTTTCCGTCGATCTTGTTTTCCAAGTTCATTTTAATAAACAAACCAACACTTCTTCCTTCTGTTGCATCTTTAATAATTCGCCTTGTACGGCTACTTTGGGCCAGATCAGTGAAGAGCAACACAGCTGATAGTGAATTGATTTTCCTTTTCGTTGGAATAATCCACTGCATCATCCACACAGCCTGCCATTTCAAGAGTCAGCCAATCAATAACAAAGATTGTTTACCGGTGCCGGTGGTGTAGTGGTAAGCGCGATTGCCACTCACATCATTCAATCCCAGTCGGCGCCGCCGGGATGTTCTGAGGCATAACATCTCTGATCACGCCTTTGGAAGGGAAGTAAAGCCGTTGGTCCCCGGTTCATGAGTTGTTGGGTCGATAGGTAGGGTCCAGGTGGCGTCGGAAGCATTGGTGCTCAGCATGGAAAACAAGATCGACGGAAAACAAAGCAAGGGAAAAAAAAGCATAATTAATTCCAGGAAAATTTCGAGATTCTTTAAGAGCTATGGGCATCTTCCTTAGCTCAGTCGGTAAAGGTGCAGCTACAAAGCAAGACCATACTGGAGGTGGCTGTGTTAGATTCCCGGTCCAGTATAGTAATTTTTCGGGTTGGAGCGTAGAGTTTGGTTGCACTTTTATTGTTATCTAGTTCGGCTCAATTACGTTAAATTTACGGAGCCGAAAATTCATTGTTCATTGTTTGTAACAAAATTCACATAATTCTATGTCTAGTAGGGGTTGGGCTGAATACTCGCGGCTTAACCGAGGTTAGAGGAGTACATTGTTGAACGGATGAGGAGAGGAGTTTCGTTGTTCAGAAAACTTCAGAGAGTTTTAAGAATTTTAGGCATTTTCATTATTATCAGGGATGTTCCGAGATCTTGAAGGGTGATCAGTTAGAAGTACCATTTATTAACTGCAGGAGCTTTCACAAAGTTCAAGGGAATTGAAAAAAATAAAGAATATTGTGGGGTCTTGAGGGAATTTCGATGGATGTCAGGAAAATGTATGGAACGTTAGAGAAATTCCGAGAACTTTTTAAAATTTGGGGTAATAATGGAAGAACTAAAACAAGAGGAATTCAGGAATCTTTAGAGATGTTAAGAGATGTTCCACAGCCTTCTAGGAAGTTACAAAAACTTTTTGGAAAAATGCAGCAACATCTGAATAGATTAAATAATTTCAGGCTAGATCAACTGACATCAGGACAATTGCAGTAACTTTTAAAAAGTTCAAAGAAATTTCAGGAAACTTCACTAAATTTCAGAATTCTTTAGGGCAGTACCGAAAACTTTATAGATGCTCCAGAAACACCTGAAAAGTCTATAGATTTTTAAAGATCTTGAAGAAATAGTAATTTTGTTTGCGTTTAGGTTCCAGGGGCTATGATCTTCTTCACGGTTAGATTTAGTTTTGGATCGTAAATATTTTTCACTGAACGAAAGACAGTGTAAGTTTATATACAATAAAGAAAGTCAAGTCCAAATACTAAAACGATGGCCGTCAAACATCGTAGCGTTTTGATCCAGTGTTAAACTGAAAACCAATACCTGAAAAATTAGGGTTTTTTTTTTTTGTTTTGCGGGATGCAAACAAGTTTTACCCTACTCTAATTTTGTGTGTACTTCCCTTAATTGTATTCAAAAAATTTAAAAGGGCGTATGCATTTGAAGCGAGTGGGGTACACATATGCAAAATCAGTGAGTAACCAGCTCTAAATTAACTAGATTACAAGAAATTTTAATTGTTCTATTAGAAGGCCTAAGTGCAGGTGAAGAAATCGGCCCTCAGTGCTATTGAATAAATAGTGTCTGAAATTGCTATTGTCCAAAGGCTAAAAGACAGCATGCGTTTGATTGAGAGCGTCACGCCGTAAAACGTTGCAACATTAGGGAACATTGCAAGTTACGACCGCACGTAAGGAAAATATTGTAGAGGAGGGTATGTGAAAATCGTGTTCGTAGATCTTACCCATGGTTCGTCGTGGCTTAGCTACCCGTAAAAAAAATAATTATAGAGGCACAATGAAATGCATTGTAACCATACAATAGAATTTATTGTACTTACAATAAATAATATTGTCTACAACGATAAAATAACCATAGAATGTATTGTTTTCACTATAGATTCTATGGTAAATGGGTAAATCTACAATAGAACAAGGGGGTTGTTATGTATCTTAACCATAGGAAAAATCACTTTTTCCCGAACAAAGATGAGCCATTTACCATTAATTGTATTGTTGTTCTATTCTTGAAAATTCTTACTATATGGGACGTATTGTAAATCTATTGTAATAACATTATGTTAAAATTTCTTGTACAATATACGTACAATAAGATCGATTTTTGGCAATAGATATTGATGTAACTGTATTTTATTTTATGGTAATTGTATTGTTATTTTTTGCGGGTAGTAAAATGCTTTCTATTCATAGCCTTGAAGAATGATAAAAAAAAATCATTTATATCTGTTTCGATAGTGGTTCTTTAAAAACCAAAACACAATCTGACATACACAAGCTTTGGCAGCATTTTAATCGCTCTTTTGTTATTATTTTCTTATTTTTCTCTTCTAGGAATGGAACGACTACAAGCTCAAATGGAATCCAGATGACTACGGTGGAGTGGACCAGCTCCACGTACCATCGGAACACATTTGGCTACCAGACATTGTATTGTATAATAAGTGAGTATTAGTTTCTGTCCGTTTTCCCGTATCGACGTTGATTTCAATCGCTTAATTGTTTGTGTCATTGACTAGAACGGACATAAATATACCACCTCATCAGTTTTTTTTTTATCTCGCCAAAAAAAAATCTATGGGCTGTAAATTTTTACGAGCTGCACCTAAGTTTATTGAATAATGACTGTTAGTTAATTGAATATTGAAGGTTAGAGATTAAAAATTGCTCAAACTATACAAGCTCATTAAATCAAGTGCAATACTTTACCGAAAATCTTAAATTTTAGGGCATTTAACTGTATAATAGCCAATCATAAATGTAGGTACAGATCTATAAAATTTGTTTAATCTAAAGAATAATGATGATGAGCTATGCTTATTTCTGTACTAACTGTATTCATCTTTAATGATCATGATTAATCAATCAAACTGTTAGAATGCTCTACATTTATATAGTTTCCAATGTAGAATAATTTAAAATGAGTGTGTTACCCATGCTATTAGTTAAAAAAAAACAAAACACTGTCCATGCAATATTGATTAAAACATTTGAAACCATTGTTGGCACATGAAACCATTGTTGGCACGTCAACCAACTGATCTAATTCTAATTTTCATTGATTTCTTCTCGCCAACTCCAAAAACTACGCTCCGGCTCTCGCTTAACATACACAGTGCGGACGGTAACTATGAGGTGACAATAATGACAAAAGCAATTTTACATCATACGGGTAAAGTAGTATGGAAACCACCTGCCATTTATAAATCATTTTGTGAGATCGATGTTGAGTACTTTCCATTTGACGAGCAAACATGCTTTATGAAATTCGGATCCTGGACGTACGACGGATACATGGTGAGTAGAGCCTATGTCGATGTATGTAGTTGCCTAGTGCACTGATCAAAATGAGTGAACGAACGGGAAATGAGGAGGACAGCTTTCCACATGTTAATGCTTCATTTGAGTGAATGCTGTTCATTGGACTATCTTGGTATGGTTGGAATTGACAATGATTGAGTACGAATGATTGAACCACCATGGGTTGTTATGCTTGTAATGCAAGCGTGCTTGAAAGGTTGTTTGATGAAGGAATTGTCAGTCATTTAATTGGCTTGAAATATAAACTATGGTTAAGCACGTACTAATGGGAGACCTCTTTCCTTTGTGTACATAATTTACAGGTGGATCTACGCCATCTCCAGCAGACGCCCGACTCCGATAACATAGACGTGGGAATAGATCTGCAAGACTACTATATATCAGTTGAATGGGACATTATGAAGGTGCCTGCCGTTAGAAATGAAAAATTTTATAGTTGTTGTGAAGAACCATATCCGGATATTATATTTAATATAACGTTAAGAAGAAAGACACTTTTCTACACCGTGAACTTGATCATACCTTGCGTTGGGATATCGTTTCTCTCCGTACTAGTGTTTTATTTGCCCAGTGATTCCGGCGAAAAGATATCATTATGTATAAGTATATTACTGTCGCTCACTGTGTTTTTTCTACTGCTGGCTGAAATCATTCCACCAACGTCACTAACGGTTCCACTGCTAGGAAAGTATTTATTATTCACGATGATGCTGGTCACATTGTCCGTAGTTGTTACCATTGCCGTACTGAACGTTAATTTTAGGTGAGATCTTCGTGATTCATGCAAATATGTAGAACCCTTCTAAAGTGCTCTGTTTCTTGCTTCCTCACGCCCTCCCTCCAGGTCACCCGTTACGCACAAAATGGCACCATGGGTGCATCGAGTTTTTATAGAACTATTGCCTAGGGTGTTATGTATAGAGAGGCCAAAGAAAGACGACGAACCATCCGAAAACGAGGAGCAGGCACCCGAAGTGCTGACCGATGTGTTTCAGGTGCCACCGGATGTGGAAAAGTACGTCAGCTACTGTGGGAAGGAATACACCACAGATTTTGATATTCCTGGTAAGTGAACAAGAGTTCATACCTTAACACTCATGCCATAAGTTGGATGCGCTTTAAAAAGCTAAATCTAAATGCATTGATGATCAAATCCAAAAAATTAGTACGATTTTCTTGAAACATTGCATAGAGGAAACTTTTAAATTTGGATTAGCATTACTATATTTCAGAATTGTTGATTGATAAAAAACAATATATTCGTAGTCATTGAACATATTTCAAAATTTACAATGTATAAGAAAAATAAGGTTTTGAATTTTTGATAATTGTTGGGATTCTGTTTTTAAATTTATCTCAATTCATATATATATATATATATATATATTATCTCTTCCGTTGATGCAACATCAAACACATGCATTGTCGTAGGTCCAAATATGATCTTCATCATCACAAATAATTTTTTTCTTAAAACTCATTTGCCATAGGAACTTTATTCTAGTAGTTTAATTATTATTCCCATCTTGAAGCAGTTGTTGGTAGCAATATTAATTCCAGTATAAAATATATAAAGTTTCTGAGAAGTTTCAACATAGTTTTAATTATTACTGAATTAGTTCTAGTTTAATATCATACAACAAAATCCGCTTTATTAATCACCATCCTTAAACAGTTTCTATTCCTTGTTCTCCCCTAGCACTGCCACCGTCACGTTTCGACGTGGCCGCATCGGGTGGCGTTGGGCCATGTTTTGGCGAGCCACCACTGCCAGCACTGCCATTAGCAGGAGGGGACGACGATCTCTTCAGTCCGACCAGCAACGGTGACATGAGTCCGAACTGTTGCGGTGACGTGAGCCCAACGTTCGAAAAACCCTTGCTGCGGGAGATGGAGAAGACGATAGAAGCATCGAGATTCGTAGCTCAACACGTTAGGAATAAGGATAAATTCGAGAGTGTAAGTACCTTTCGACCTTCATTGTAACGGATCTGTGCAGCTCAATTTTTCGATTCCATTTCACCACCGTGGAAGGAACCGAAAGCGATACCGATAATAGAACTTCCGGCTTAATTCAATTTCCTATTTTCTTTCCCGACTAATGCTTCTTTTCTGACTTATCCCTTTGTGCCGCTCGCTGGCGGGCGTGACAAGAAAATGCGATTCAAGAAAATCCTTTTTTGCTATACGCACGAGTACACCCTTTCCCAGTTTTCTGTTCGTCCAGGAATTCCCCCGCGTTTGCTGATGAAATGAAGAAAGCCGGGCATTGTGACAGCGCGCTCCTCGATCCGCCCGATTTCATATTCAATTAGGCGTTCAATTTATCACCCCTTTCATAAAAGATAACCCCCGGGTTTGCTATTATTGACATACAGATGAGAGACCGCGCAATTCTGCAGTGGTATGTCGGTTCATGGAATATGAAGGGCCGGGTCAGTGAAATATGAACTGCAAATAATGTTGATGACAAATTTTGGTGAGTAGGGTAAACGCTCCTATAGTTGCGGTACGTTAGAAGCGTTAGGTTCCTATAGTTCTGTATTGAGTCTCCATGCACAACTATAGGAACCTAACGCTTCTAACGTACCGCAACCATAGGAGCGTTTCCCCTACCGAAATGCTCCGAGTACTGGACAGTCCGTTAATCGGGACATTTCATTTTTAATTAACTATGTGGGCTGCGTGGTCGTGCGGTTAGTGGCATCACCCGTCGTTCAGGCGTATTGTGAGTGCCACGATGTGAGGGTTCGATTCTCGCTCCAGCCGGTGGAACTTTTCGCAACCTGTAGTTTCTCTACTGGTCTACTGGGTGTTGTGTGTTGTCCGTTGTCTAGTGTTAAGTATTCAGTCTGTACAACCTCTGGTTGAAGACGGTGTCAATTGTCTTTGTCTTATTACTTTACAACATAATATACATGTGTGATGATTATGAACGTTGACATAAATTCATGTTAAAATTTGTCAATGGCATATGCCAAGACATTGGAAATAGTTTAAGCGGCGGACTCAATGTCAACGGTGTCCAAGAAGTCGTCCCAATCTAAACTGGAGAGTAACTCGGCGATACTACCATAGTCGGCGTTGCGAAAATCGTACACTGAAAATGTATTTTCGTTATTTCTCTGAAAACCGTTTCGTAAAAATCAATATCGTACTTACAACACATCTATCATAAATGGTACGAAACATTCGTTTTCCCTGTCATCTGGCGCAATGTCAATATTACGCCTTATTCGTATAATATATAAATTCATCTTCGTACAATCAAACCAACAACTGCGCTTATTTTCTCCTAAAGTTCTGATTGTGTGTTGGAGATGGGGTGCTGGTTTGACCAATACATGCAAGCTACCATTATAAATCAAAATACTGGTCACGGTGGTTTTATGTCAGAGAAAAAAAATACATGCAAGCAGCAGAAAAAGCAAACGAAATCGAATTACCGCTCCATGAGTACTTCTTATCTGCCTTTAGCCTTTCGCTTTCTCGTAGCACAGATAGAGTGATGGATAAGGTGCAGATCTGGCTATTGTAAGGTTCATGATTCGAGTCCGGTCTGAAGCCAAATTTATATTTTTGTCATGTTTATCGCTTACAATAATGAAGTTATTTTTACCCATCCTCACTAACACACTCCACATTTTTCGGTCTCCACAACCAACACTTGTGGCCCGCTGGTTGGGTGTAGCGATAGCGAGTGTGGAAGTTTTAACGAAACTAGCTTCATACAATGTACAAATCCATTTCGTTGCAGAAAACAACGAATAAATTCGTAGAACAAACGAGCGATTTCGTTGTATAAACGAAAATTTATTTTCAGTGTAGGAAATGGTGGCAGGTGATATATTAAAATCATGCATCAGCTTAGTACTTAACTTCACCCAGTTTGATTGACGTCCACACCTGCTCCTTACTTGTAATTTTTCATCGATTTTTCCACCCAAATATAAAATTTTTCCACCCAAATATAAAAATCATCATCCATACCTGAGTGGTATGAAGTCTTTTCCAAAATGTGCCATTTTGATTGGAATTCCTTAAAAATCTCAACATTTGGAGACTTTGACGTTTCAAATTTCAGAATTTTAAAAGCTTTGCCAAGTAGCAGTTCATGTATGTGGTGTCTACAAGGGAGGCCTATAAGCTGCCTCTTAAACAATTTGTCCAGGTACTGACACGCACCTTTTTTTCTACCGATATTTGGTGCATTAGTATCAAAAGATTTTAACATAATTCTAAAAACAAACGAAATTCAACAGAATTCTGAGGTGAACATACAAGATTTAAGATCATACCTGTCCGCAAGCCTCCATCCGACGACTGCATTGTACACCGCTTCTGCTTGTTGTGCCCCCGTAGAGTTTTCGATGGGTGGAACAGCCAATAATTTGCTAATGCCTTCGCCTGATACAACTGTGGCCAAGCGCTCGATTTTTGGTAGAGCTTTGGATGGTAGCGAAGTCCTGCTCTGGCGATTCTGACAGATTCCTTGTTCAACAATAATGATGAAACATCGTGCCCTAAAGCTTTAGCGATCGATGATATTAGAAACACAGCATTTCGATCACTCACTTTACAGCGGTCCAATGCAGCAGCTACTTCAACTGTAACAACTCGTAACAGTTGCGATTTACGTGTCAAAGCTGGTTTTGGAGAACCTAGAACGTTCAAAATATATTAATATGGATGGTAATAGGTGTATAATCTAAAAGAAAAAAAAAAACATTAGTAAAACATCACAACGTACCTGTTTTTGGAGAAGCTCTTTCGGATGTACTAGACTAGACACTGACCCAGCCTGGCTGTCGTTTTGTGATGATGTTTCAATTGAGGTTGCACTACAAATTTGATCCGGTCTTTGGCTTGACCCTTCTTCCTCAAAATCGCTACACGGGTTTTTGCCTTAAAATTCTTCCCGATATCAAACAAACTCCGCAATGATCCATGAAATGTGTTCCTTTTTTCAACGTCTTTCTTAGCCATTCTAAGTTTGCATAAGGCTTTCCAGGTATTGAAAAATAGCAACAGTTTTTTCTTTATGCTTATGTCATTTACCAAATGTGTTAAGTTTTTTTTCTTCCAAGCATCCTTTAATTCCTTTATTGTTAGGAAGGCACTAAGCTTACGACTTTTTTTTTCAGCACACAAATGAAACATATATTTACGAAAAACTTCACTGTACGTCGGCAAGTTAACAGCCAAATGTCAACCATTTTTAACAAACTGTCGTACTATTCTCTATCAGTTCTCTGCTTGTTGTCTTCTTCAAACGCACTACTGATTGATCATACATCCTCAGATCGCATCCTTTTTTATACTAAAGCATAGGTAGAAAAAGCCAAGGTAGAAAAGTTTACGTAGAAATAAGTACTTGAGTCCGTTGCTTGCCTGTAGGAGAACACTGTTAGTGTGTGTTTTTTAATTAATACCCAAAAGGAAGCCAGATAAACAATATGCTTTATGCGGGTACTTTTTTGGCACCTCTATAGGGTAGGAATTTAAAAGAAACACATATAAAGGGTTGTCCCGTATTAGGTGGATATGTTAAAAAGTCATTGTACTTTCGTCAGATTGTACTGTAAACTAAACAGCACTAACGGTTGTCCTGTACATTTTTTGGAATTATTCTACGATTTATGTCTGTCTATGCTTCTATTTTACGTGGTCTCAGATACTTAAAAGTAATATCATCAAATGTTTTGAAGTTTGGATTCGTGACCCTATAGTTTGGTAATAAGCAGATCAGCAGAGAATACTAAAGAAAACTAATGATTTGGTATGCATTGGGCAGCATTTTAAGTATACTTTCAAATGTAATAAACCGGGTTGTGCAATTTTGCCCGACCTCGAGCTATTGGCCTTGGAAATAGTGCTAGTTTTGGATCAAAACCTTGAAAATCTAAAAAAATATTGAAGATAGGGACTTGTTTCCCAAGACTAAATGGCGTATCTAAAAACAAACATTTGTGTAGAACATACTAATGTCAAAAAAATTTCACTGCACACACCTAGATTATTTTACCGAAATCTGTGAAATTTTACCGAAATCTCAACATCTGAACGTTCGGTAAACAGTTCGGTGATTTTTCACAGATTTCCTGTAATTTTTCTCAGATATTCGGTGAAAAATTATAGGAAATCTGTGAAAAATCACCGAACTGTTTACCGAACGTTCTGCTGTTGAGATTTCAGTGAAATTTCACAGATGTTGGTGAAATAATCTTAGTGTGCACCGTAGATGGTACGCAACGCCTTATATTATCTTATCTGATGTAAACAACTATTTAAACTATTCGGAAAAAAATCTAGGCGAGGAAGTTGTAACAAAAGATGTTTTTATACTGTTTGATGCCTGTAGGGTTTAAAATGTTAAACAGGACGGTCGAGTTGAAACACAATCATCGCAATTCCATATCGAGATTATCGAACAAACAGTGAAGATTAAAGGTTTCCGAAAACTAAACCTATATTTTTTTTATATAAACCAGTTTGAGTATTTTTTTATCTTAGAACTGAAGTAGCCGTCAGATCCATAAAACATTTACTTTGGTAAGTTATAACACACTTCTGCTTCGCATTTCTCCTTGCAGATAGAAGAAGACTGGAAGTACGTAGCGCTTGTCCTAGATCGCCTGTTCCTGTGGATATTCGCGGTGGCGTGCGTGATGGGCACAGCACTGATTATCCTGCAGGCGCCCAGTTTGTACGATAACACCCAACCGATCGACGCCATGTACTCCAAAATCGCCAAGAAGAAGATGGAGTTGCTCAAAATGGGGAGTGAGAATGTATAGCATCCGCCAGGGTTCGCATCCGCCGTTTGGAAGTACCTTCTGAACTGGATGCGAACCCTGGTCAACGAGGATGACCATTAGAGAATCCAATCCTCACAAACACACGCGCGAACATACCCCCGAAATGAATTGAAAGAAAAAGGATTGGTAGAAGTCTGCTTCTACACAGCCAACAAACACAGCAAAACAGATAGAGAGAGAGAGAAACAACAGACAACATCCGAACAAAAACCAAAGTTACTCCACTCGCATCTCGTTCAGTGGCAAACACGTTGTTGTCTTTCGTCGTTGGACTCTGAGACTGTAGGAAAATCAGCACCTTCACCGGCATGGTCAAAATTCGGCAGTGGTGGTGATGGTGGTGGTTGACCTCGTTGCGTGTCTGGACTGATCACGCGGGCGGAAAAAAGTGGTTTACCCTGGATCTGTTCTCCAATTGCTCAATCCAACCCACACGAAAAACGGACACGCCATCATCTCTGCAATGTCACACTGCAGAGGAGTTTCACCAGGATCCGTCACGTGAGTCAACAGCGTTATATGTACTGATTGTTCGTTTTGTGTTTTTCATTTGATTTTGGTTTTCTCTAGGGAAAAGAATGTCAATAACAATCAAATTAATGTTAATACCATGTAACAAAGTGTAGTTTTTATTAAAAGAGGAAAACTTTTTATACGACGAATGACGGGGTTGGAGGGGGTTTCAAAGGAATAAGTTAGCTTTTAAAAGTTTGTTTTTGAAACCATTTGTTTCTGGGGAGGAACTGGGTGCTGCAGTTTCAGCTGCACCGTATGGTGATGTAAATAGCAAAGGGGATTTGGTAAAAGTTTTTATTTTGAATAACAGTAAGCAAAAATAAAATACGAGTGCAATGTGATTGATGCAAATCAGAACTTAAGACGTAGCGTAGTTTGTTGATGCAGAGTATTATGGCAGCATATTGGTGTATATAAATAAATTTTGTTGGACATCAATCCTAGTGGAATTTGGTAAGCTAAACTGTAAGACGGGAGTAAGGACAAAAAACGAATTCTCAAAATAGTTCATATTTTTTATATTATTATCGATAATAGCGGATGAATTGAAATGATAGTTATTTTTAAGTGAAAATGAAGTGGTAAACTGAAGAAAACGACGTTTAGTTAGAGATTGAATTTGCATACATTTTTATACACTAACAAGAGAATGAGCAGAGAAAGATTTGGTTTATTTACTGCGAAACATGAATTGACGGACTTTTCTAGGTCAGCAAGTTGTGTTCATGGCTCCATTGCAAGACAACTTGTTTCCTGCGTACTTCCTGGAGACGAAGCACGGCAGAAAGTCTACTTTCTTTAGCAATCAAAATCAAACGGTAGCGTTTTAAACTATCTAATTTTGGAATTGAAATGCAAAATCTTCCTAACTGAAAAAAAAAATTGTAGTTGGACAAAACTATGCGCAATGCGAATGGGTAACGTGAGAAGCGATTTGGATTGAACTGGAAAATGAGCAGAAGGAAATAAGCAGAATCGAATTGAAGCAGACTAAGTAAAAGAACAATCAGCTTGCACCGGTCTGATAATGAAGTGTCTTATCTACAGGAAATTCTACCAAAATTCCCAATAAGTGAACGCTAAAATACTGCAGCAAAATCCAGTGAGAGCAACTAACAAGGTTATTTAAATCTTGCATCTTCGAACTTGGCATCGACGAACATTCTAGCCAAGCTCAACAGATCGAACGGAAACTTCCTATAATCACTAGATGAATATGTCAGAGTAACTGAAGTAAAGAAAAAAAAAATAACAAACGTGTATGTATTTTATATGACACAATATTATTGGAGGAAAAGAACATTTTCGTAAACTATAGGTGTATATGTAGTTAGATTTTATATCATTGAATGAATTGAAGTTAAACTAACAACAAGTAAAGTGGAAATAAGCAAGTATCAACTAGTGCAGCAAACATGTGCTGAGATGTAGTTAAACAAAATTAAAAGTGAATTTATTCGTACTAAACCAACGGTAAAAGCTTAAGTCACACAAACCTACACATACACATTAACACAAAAGTACAGCAGAGGAAAACTGAAATCTCAACGACCTTATAGGACGGTTCGATGATTTACAACCTAAACACTCACATCACGTGTATAGAGTCTCTTACTTTATAGGGAGTAAACAGTAAGTTTTAAGCAACCGAGTCAAAATACGTTCTCCGACAACTAACTCTTGGTCTTTTTGCAAGCAAATCAATCGAAAAATATAAAAAAAAAATGAACGAAGCAAGCACTACAAAAGAAAATAACATACCATACAAAACCGAAACTTCTCATAGTTAACAAAAAAAAAGTTAGTCCATATAGAGAAACAAAAATGATGATATCTCAGACAGGCTATTGTTGATGATTTTCGTTGAAAACTGAAACTGTGAAACAAATTTTGTAAAAAAAAAATATGAACGAGCCCGTTTCCGCCGGATGCACCGTAAAAGGTAGTCCCTTTAATATGATTGGCTCCTTAAAGGAACTACTTTTGGTGCCACATGACGATCGATATCTTGTGTGGGCTAGTGAAATGTTATTTCGTGTTGATGTTTGAGTTCGTATGCCTATATCTATATTTCCGGCTGGGAAATGGTTGTATAGCAATGTTCGATTTTTCTTTCTCGAGGAAAGACATGCACGGAGAGCATTTATTAGCAAAATTTGTTCAAATTTAAGACGTCAAGCTAGCACACATACAATAATACTGCCCAATGTTGTTAAGATTTTCGTTGAAATTGTTCTTCACAGTTAGTCAGTAGGTGGCTTTGGAGGGGTGACTGGCTGATAGGGTAAACGCTCCTATAGTTGCGGTGCGTTAGAAGCGTTAGGCTCCTATAGTTGCTTATGGAGTCACTATATGGAACTATAGGAATCTAACGCTTCTAACGTATTGCAACTATAGGAGCGTTTACCCTAGTTGAATAATGTTGGCTTAGGTCATATGTCATAGCTTCGAGGGATTGTGAGTTGAGATTGACTCACGGAAGATTGTCAGGAGAAAAAGTTTCGTTAAACGATAAATAAACGCCAATTAAAATCACACGTCAGGCACATGTCATTAATAGGTAGATTGATCAGATGCCATAATACCATAACTTTCTATAAGACCTGCTGATAGACTACATAGTAGGTGACCTCGAAAAGAATTGGAAATTTATAAATGATTGTATCTCTGTAAACGTGTATCACAAAAATGTCAAAATAGACTCAACGCAATTTCAGATATTGCTGTTGGAATTCACAAAGATTCGTACGCGAAAGGTCAGTGGGAACGACCAAACGAAAAATATTTAGGAATTTTAAATCTACTGTTTCTCGAGTCATCAAAACTTTCAAGGATCTTTGATTCGCCCAGCGATTGGATGACATATAGTGGCCAAAAAGGGATGGAATTCGCAATTGTGTAAATATTCTTTATTGCTTATTTTTATTTCATTTGTTATTTTTTTGGCTAATCCATAAGATTGTGAGTGATATTATGCAGTTTTCAGATAAAAAATGCCATGATTGTCTCAAAACACTTCGAACCGGTCGCTGAAGAATTGAATGCCATTTTTTGTTATAATTATCACTTTAGAAGTCTTGAGCAGTTTCACGCTAAAAGACGGATCGGAAAATCTCGACTTTCTCTTATTTTCTTGACACTTTGCATAATTGTTTGCTATGAGCAATGGTTCAAGTTTTTGCTTAAATTCGGCCATTATGGATCTTGTAAAATTTTCACAATGTCATCTTAGAAATGCTTCTTAAAATTGTAGCATGGCAACGGCACATCTGACAAAAAAAAAGACGACTGGAACAAATTTGTAGAGCAACATTTTTTTCCTGAGAAAAATATACAAAAAAAAAAGTGTTTAGTATTTTCAAGCGAAATACTAAAACAAATGTTAAAAACCTAAATATCTCAAAACGTCCTTGATAGATTTTTGATTTAACACACTTTGAAAAATAGACACTTCTTGAATGTTTAAAATTGCGGTTTTTGTAAGACGATTTTTCAAGTAATTACACTAATAAAACAGTGTTTGAGTCATTTTAAATAGTTTTCTGTGAAAAAATACACAACATTTGACATGTTGAACGTTTTTTTTTATCACTTTTCAAGTGTCGATGGTTTGGATTATTCCAAAAGTTTACATTATTCAAAAGCTATATTTTGAAAAAAAAAACTAAAGATCTGATAAGGAGATTTTGAAATAATTAAGAGTCAACATTTTTTTTATTTTTTTTTTCTTAAAATAAATAAAAACAAGTTAAATAATTAACAACATTTATTTTCTCCGCACCTTTGTCTCAGATGTCATTTCGATCTGAAATACCTTTCCGTGTTAATTTTTTTAAAGAAAAATTTCAATATTTTTTTTAGCTATTTGGCGTGGGTCATTGTAACTTGTCCAGAGATGAGATTTGAACTCGTGGCTTTGACGTAAGAGCTATGAACCATAACCAGTGTGCCAGGGCCGTCCCCATTGAATCCCATTATCAGTGACTAGTGTCTCATACTGACCATATCTTGCCTATATTCCACAAAGGTGTTTTTGCTTTTTGTACTGATAATTAGTTACAAATTCAAATTAAATTACATTTCATTTCAATCTAGGTGCTCCAGCTACTACAATAACAAACTAGCCTTAATTGTTATGATATATATATCTAAGTATTTTAAATTGTTCCTGCCTTGGCAATTCAGTATTTTAAATAGGGTTTCTTTACCTACATGTCAGTATAACAATTTTCATCTTAAAACTAAAACTAAATCTGATGGTAATGTAAAGGGAACCTAATAAGGATTGCAACGATTTTTGTTTGATTTTTTTTAATTATTTTATGTGACATTTATTCTAAAGTCTCAACATTAGAAACTCTATTTGACTTCAAAATAAACTTCAGAACATTGATCTGAATCGAACTTTGGCTTCCTATTGATAAGAGGATACAAACCATTTTATATATTTATTACATTTGGCTTGAATGTCATCAATATGATCTTTAAAAGTAAATTTTTTGTCATGTACTAATCCAAGATATTTCACTTGACTTGACCGAGAAATTTGAGCGCCGTTCAGAGTGTTACTAATTTTCAAAAAAGAAGCTCTAGGCTTAAGTGGGAATATTATAAGTTGAGTTTTGGAAGCGTTAGGAGAAATCTTCCATTTTTGTAAATAAGAAGAGATAGTATCTAATAATAACAGATAATATCACACTTCTTCCTTTAGCGGAAATGCCTGTGTCATCAGCGAAAAAAGATTTGTGGCAACCCTGAGGCAAATCAGGTAGGTCCGAAGTGAAAATGTTATACAATATAGGCCCAAGAATGCTACCCTGAGGAACTCCTGCTCCAACAGGTAGTCGTTCAGATTTGGAATTTTGATAATTTACCTGCAGAGTTCTGTCAGTTAAATAATTTCGAAATAATTGCATAATATAGAGTGGAAAATTAAACTTTTTCAATTTAGCAATTGTGTTATTCAGTACAATTTAAATTTCTTA